AAATAAAAAATAAAAAATCTATACATTGCATTCTATCTACTTGGTCAGTAAAGCTACGTGCTTTTACGACCCAACAGCACGGGATAAAATCTTAATTATCGTTCGAGTAACACGCCGAGGTGTTAACGAACCTGAGCATTGCAGCGGCGGCGCTGCCATCATCCTGCAGCAGGCTCGGGTCGATGGCAGATGCCAGAATGAGTTTCCCGTTGGTGCGACCGGCGTAGATGAGTCTCATCTCCTATACGGAGAAAAAAACAGAGCACGTAGATCTAGCTATACAGGTGCCTATAGATTTACGCGCTGCTGATGATTGGCGAATGTTCGCGTCCGGCGTGCTGGATCTTTGTTTAACAGTTTGTCAAACTCCTATATACGAAATGGCTGCAATTTTCCGCTACACTTATATGACACTATATATATAAATAAATAAATAAATAACATAACATAATATATACATATATATAATATATCGAGCCACCTGTGATATATATATCGATATATTGTGCTGCCTATATGTTGATGCAAACGCGTAATTAATGGGCAAATCTGACACGGAAACCAAAGCAGCACGGTTGCGGATGCGCCTATATGCTCCCCGAATGTAACCAAAATGGCGGAAACCTCATCCGCACGCATACCTCTGCGAAGTCGGCAAAGGCATTCAGCGATACGGCCGTGCTGTTCGTTACCGTTCCCATCAGCTCGTCTTCGTCAAACTCCACTCCGTCAAAGTGATACCTGTAGCGGGAGGGATGACAAACAGATTTTATGTCGAGGTTTAACGTATGTTGTTTTAATGTTCTAAAACTACCATTCGATTCCTAGACATTGGTACGCAACAGAAACAGGTTCTTTCCTAAAAACAGTTAATTAATTGCTTTTTCACAGAATTATTTTCAAAAAAAAAATCAACCATGCTGGGTTTCATGGGTGTCAATTTCCCCCGGGCGTAGAGAAAGGTGCCGCTACGTGGCAGCACTAGTCACTTCGCACACTTCCGTCATTCCACAGTCTGACTCTGTGATACTTCCATGCTAGACATGGCCTTATTTCCCTAACTCAAACCCTAACCCTAACCCTAGTGCTGCCACGTAGCGGCACCCTCCCTCTACGCCCGGAGAAAATTGACAACGAGGTTTCATATCTACGGCAGCAAAACTTATAGTTTGAGTACGCCCTCTATAATCGTTTCTGAGACAAAGGGATACATAATGAAACAATACCGCTGCAGGAACTGCACGGCGCCGAGTGCGAGCTTGTGGCGTAGGTAGGGGATGTTGACGATGTCCGCCACACGGTGGCGCTGGTCGTCTCTCACCGATACGAGCGTCTTCAGGCAAGGATTCGTCGTCTTCAGATCTCGCATCTGTCTGTAGGCGTCTGCAGCGAGACACAGGCGCGGGTTACGGGAAACGCATTCTAACGTACGCGGGAATAATTTTATTACTATTATTACTACTATACTACTATAATCGTTATTACTTTGCTTGCTTGACGAAGACGTTTGATATACACGGAATAATGACAGCATTACTTACGTATATCCCAGGCGCTTGGGCGTTTCACTGTGCCCGTCAGGGCCAGGCTCGATTGCGAATAAACGATATGCGAGCACAAACCAAGATGGCCGTTTCCGTCAGCCATTACCGCCCGTAGCCGATGCATGGTGACGTCATAGTAACAGACGACGTTATGGCGCGCGTCGCCACATTCTAGAAACGGAACAGATGCGATGTCGTAATAGATACTTACAACTGGACATAAAACTGAACTGGACAAGTTACCTCAATTTCTTCGAGACGACAGCTGCTACGGTAATGTGTAGGCAACGTGTGTGCGCTCACATACAAGCCCGCGCACAAAACACGCACGCTTACACACCCGCGTACCGATTCTCACATGTTTGGATATGCATGCACGTAGGCCCTACGTATGCACACGCACGCACATGCACTCGCACGCACGCGCCTGCACGCCCGTACGCGCACGCATACAGGCACTTCACAATTCTCCACACATGCTCGCGCATTCTTGAACATCCACAGATACGCGGGGAAGATATTAAGTATACTCACACGTTCACGGCCGCACACGTATAGGCACATGACATATCCTGAAATAGTATATCTATACTTACCTGCACTGATAGCAGTCGTCAGTGCGCATAGTGTAGTCAGCACTATAATGCAGAAAGCGACGTGAAGCTTCATTATCACAGTTACTATCACTGCACTACAGCACGTAGTAAATTTTCGTGCACGTATATCTTCGTGTATCAGTCGCTTAGAAGTGAAGTTTATCGGACTTGTTTCACGTGCACCGTAGAATCACGAATTAAAATATGTGTATATATGCAAATAAATAAATAAATAAACGTATGTGCGGAGCTCGTATCTATACAGCCGTATATGTTTCCTGAGTTGGCTAGGGGTGCTTCAATGTTTCTGGCAACGGCGCCGACTTGCGACCGTATATCAACTAGATCTGTCCTCGTGATCGTGACGTCACCAACACGTGACTGAGGCAAGAAATGCAAAAGCTTTCATGTTAGATGTCGAAGCCAGTTAAAAACGTACAACGGGCTTCATGTCTCATGGCCGTTTATTTGTTCCAGATTTGCAAGGGCGCGTTCTCTATCCGTGACGCAAACATTTACTTACACAATCCATGCGTATCACGAACCTTCTATACAATATGACAACATTAAGCAAGCTCTATTAAGTATAGAGCGCCGAAACCCACGTCAGGATTGTTTCAAGATTGATGCTTAAAGACGCAGAAAAATGATTATTAATAGTGAAGTAACTTGTATGCGAACGAATTGTGAATTGTGAATTGTGAAATTGTGAATTGTGAATTGTGAATTGCCTTTCTTTCAATACACACTCTACTGTTAGCCTCGCTACTATTATTATTATTACTCGCAAAATGGCCGCCTCCGGCGGCCATATTCGCTCGTTACGCTGATGAGACTACGATGATTTCTCTAAATCCCGGCCCGATTCATAGTAATCTTTTCGTAAAATATTGACTTGATACGAAGACAATAATACAAGGATCCTGTTACTAATATAACATTTTCTGTCCCGGTATATTCATTTCTATATAAAACACTTTGTACACACCTTCTAATCCATTGTTTTTCTCTTCAAATTAAGGCTAATATAATACAGTCCGACCGGATATGGGATTTGGCCGGATATGAGAGTTATGCTCAAACACAGCATTTCTATGCAGTTCAGTAGGGTTTATGCATGTGATAATGTATTTACTCGTTGCTATGATTATTGTAACAAACTGTCGTGTTTTATGGTTTATATGAAATATAAATAAAATAAAATAAAATAAAATTTTACCGGAGGCATAGCCGGCCACGAAGCGGACCAAACACACCCACCACACACCCCCACACACCCACACAGGGTCACACATCACACACTCCCACACACACACACCTCGGGCCACCACACACAGCACCACGACACAACACACACACACACCACACACACACGCCACACACCACACACACACCACCAGCGCGCCGCACGCACGTCACACACATTGCAAACACTACTACGGTTGGTACATCGCGCGATTTTAGTGACTCTTGAGCCGATGTTTTGAGCGAGATTTTTAGGTGGAAATGACTAAAAAACAGAGAACATACGAACTGCGAGATGCACACACGGTTGTAGAGATAGAGATTTCCGGAATAACGGATGGCCGGAAAAGGAGTCGACTGTAAATACGAAACCCGCTTATACGATATTTTTCTTTGGCCCTTCAGTCTTCGTACTACGGGGTGCGCGACTGTAGTAATGATTGATTAACATCTTAATGAGGAGTTTAAGACTTCTGCAGTAATTGTACTCTATTTGTGAACACATTTTCCAACAGCTACTACAGCTTCTTAATTAATCCACTATAAACCTTATATAAATACCTTGTACACAACCTGTACTCCAATAAATTTTTCTTTGCTTATCGGCGGCTAATATAGATGTTAAGTAGTTAATACGAAACCCCCGCTATATACTTGACTTGTGGTCTTTTAGTTGGCCCGTCTTTATTTGGCCCGTCCTTATTTGGACGCGCGTCTCGTTTTCATACTAACCAGGTATTGAATATCTTAGGGCAACTGTAGGCAGCAACGGCTTCGCCAGTAATCGGATTTATCTGCCTCCTCCACGTAGTGTCGCGAAGTATTGCGTTCGCACGTTCTGTTGTGTGTGTGTGTGTGTGTGCGTGTGGGCGTGTGCGTTGTGCGATTCGTGTGCGTGTGCCGTGTGCGCCTAGTGCGTGTGCGTGTGCGTGTCGTGTGCGTGTGCGTGTGCGTGTGGTGTGCGTGTGTATGATGGTGTCCATGTGTGTGTGTGTGGTGTGTAGGTGTTGTGTGTGTGTGCTGTTGTGTGGTCGTCGTGTGTGTGTGTGTGTGTGTGTGTCACGGTGTGTGTGTGCGCGTGCGCGTGCGCGTGCGCGTGCGTGTGTGTCTGTCTGTCTGCTCGATATTTTTGCAACCGTTACTCTTAGAGGTAGAAACTTCAAACTTGGTCCAGAGGTGGACCTTAGGGGCGGTGGAACCCTATTGATTTTGAGTACCTTTCACCCAAGGTCAATGGTCACAGGTTCACATTTGATGAATGGATAGATAGATTGATAGATAGCAAAATAGATAGATTGATAGATATAGATATGCGCTGAGTGCGAGCGTGCAGGTGGGAAAGGACTTGCTTCCACAGCCAGCGCGTGTGCCCTGGCGAATCCACTGCAAGGTTACGCGACAGACTACTGCATCCCTTAGCCCGTGGTTGCGTGTTTGTAAGTCTACAGCCAGCTCACCTTGCGGAAGTGAACTGAATCGTGCATGTTTTCCAGAAAGATTTTCCATTATATTTTTTAAATATGGTTTTGTTAAACATATAACCCAATAAATGACAAAAAGCAAAGTGTTAGAATCGAACCTCATGCGTAGGAATGAAGCACGAAAATTTTCAGCCGGATTCGTGCACGCGCCAAGAAGTTATGCAAGAACAAACAGAACGACACTACTCAAATTATTATATAGATTATTATTATTATCAAATTCATGTTCTGAAAATATAATAACATACTACACAACTTTCTAATGACCCGAGGTTTCTCTCATATCGACGTTGATGCTGAACAGTAAACAGTATCACGTCAATAAGGTGATGCTTTCCCGTTTCAGAACGCCACAGTTCAGAATCAGATTTACCTTACAAATAAAATTGCATCATTTAATTCAAAATTCATCAAATTCAAAAATTGTCATTATTTACCTCTGATGTCAGTAGAGCCTATGAGCACAGAATGGTTTAAATCATCACGACATTTGTGTTTATCCGCGGATTCCCCATGACTGTTGTTAATAGGCAATCGCGTTATTCACGCCCTCATATCATTAACAGTATAGTAGAGTTGTGTATGCATGGTCATCATTTATTTACGTTTCTGAACACGGTTGTGCTGATATATATTTCATATGTTATCTGTCTTAATTTAAAACGTTTTCAGTACTGCGACAATACTGTGTCAAGTAAGTTTACAAACACGCTAGGAACTAGTACGAATACGTCCGAAATGCTTCCCTATTTATGGCCATAATTCTTTAACAGTAACGCGTATAGAATCATGATTATGGTAGGAAATGTTTCATAGCAGAGCAATGCATGAGCGCGTTTGCAGTAATTTATTACGACTTTACCCCGCACAACTTTCCGCAAAGTTTTTCTTCATTATAGTTCGTAACTTGGAACCTGTTCTAACAAACATCCATCTCACTAACGGGTATAAACCACCATGGTGAGCCTCCCATGTGAGATACATTTCAACATTACCACGCAAACGCGCAGTTCTTTCGGTGTGGCGCGTTAACTCAGCAGAACGTATTTCCCTGACATAGATATATATCACGCGACGATATCTTAACCGTAAGCAAACGAATCAATGGAGTTCTAAACGGTCTTATGATTTTGCGTTTGTTGTTATCGGTGAATCGGAATGCCAATGCCAAATTACACATCATTAGATAAGTATCTCTACTATCTGACTCATGGACATATAGTAGCGAGGCCAGGGATCATAGATACGGTCAATTAGGACGGAAATAGTTAGACCGATCCACCGAGCGAGTTAATCCAACTATGGATAGTTGTGTTATAATTGCTGTCATAACCACCTAAGACACGAAGATTATTTTGGCGTAAAGAAATTAGCATGTGAGGTATAGGATAGTAAAATTTTCTTAACGAATGGGAAACATGACATCACCAGCATGATTTTGTCGGTGAGAGGAAATCTGTGCTGCTATATGCTTGACTTCGCGATTAATCACATGCCTCTGTCAAACAGCATCGACTATTACCGAATCAAGTTATCACGGTAACTTCTAAATGCTGACATACGATCTGTTACGAGCGAATGTACATTTTTACTAATGGATGACCGTGTTTACAGATAACTGAGCAGAAGTAACGAAGTAATAAAGTAGCGAGCTTACTTTACAGTCAAGCTATAGTTCTTATGCGTATCATAATCATCGTAATAATCGTCATCGCTGTCACTGCTATCGCCAGCATCATCCTCTAAAGATGTTGGTCGGGGAGGGGGGTCCACATTCCGCACGTTCCCAAAGATATCAAATTTTCTAGTTACCAGTTAATTAAAACCACAATATCGTCGCTCCCGCAACCCTGTTGAGTTTTATTCTCGAGCCAAGAAAAATCTGTTATTTCCCTGGTAATTGAAATGGTCCAATCCCGCGCCCCGAAAATGACCGTTCCCCTTCTCTTAACCGCAGAAATAAATAATTAAGCACAGTATAGTCTATGTATTATATCAAGAATCCATAATAGAAATTTTCTAGCATGGACTCTTGATTATATCGAGAGCATATTAAGTAAGCATACTTAAAACGCTCTTGATTATATTATTTTGCACGTGTTTTAAAGTCTCCACACTGCGCGCTGCGTTAGTGTTACTGCTGCTATGTAACGCCGCGTTACACCTGCCCCCCCCCCTCCGCTCGTGAGCACGTGATGACGCCAGTCTCACTGATGCGAAGCATGACTCTTGGCAGGGAGGCAGCGTACGTGCTTCGACATTTGCCCCACGGGCGCCACCGACACGACTCAACCGGCAACACGGCCCGCCCGCGGTGCGGATGGGATACAAACAGACACACGCGCACACGCACGCGCACGCACGCACGCCCGCCGCTTACATGCAGGCACGCGCACACCGCGCACTGCACACACGTCGGCGGTCTCGCTCAATCAAGATCGTGTCGTCAAACTCCCGACAACGCCCGCAACACGATTGCCACGATGAATAGCGTGCAAATCTACGGAACCGTGTTCGTCATGGCGATGCTGATGAAGGGTAAGTGTGGATGTTACACACAATAGTCGTGTATAATAGTTATCCGACGCGCGTACGTGCGCGCACAAACGCACTCGTTGTTGCGCTGACGTTTATAGAAAAGATGCACACTTGATGACAATGCGACAGATGACTGATCATTGCTTGTGATGGATTATAGTAGCATCGTGGGTGCGACTTTTCATCACGTAGAAGTGTCTGTAACGATTATTTTCTGCAAACAATTCGTAAAGATCGCTCGAGCTTGATCGGCCATGCGTGGAGTTATGCGCGTTGCGCTGTATATATATTACGTAATGATGAATATGTTCAGAGTTTGTGCTACCTGCGTACACACCAGCTATGGATGCCCGTTAATACACTATATATATATTAAGCCGTTACCGTTAACACACCATCTATGTATGCGGCCGTTAACACACCATCTATATATATGACCGTTAACCCACCAACTATGTATATATACATTAACACATCATCTATGTATGATCGTTAACACACCATCTGCCAATATTCCATTCGTTTATGAACGCCATCTCATTGTTAGTTCATCGCCAACATTAGGATAATCTAAAATCTATAAGCTAGACGACCGTTCATGGACTAGTACAGTGCATATGTGCTTCCTAGAGACGGTTCAAGTCTATATATATATATATATATATATCACACACGCGTGACCATTAATTCACGGTCTATGTATGTCCCTGTCTATGTATGGCTGTGACGGTCCATGCTCGGTCCATGCTCGGTAACTCATGGTCTATGAATGTCCTTGTAGATGCACGGTCGTAAATAACCTAGCTGTGTACGTATGTCGCTTAAAACAAGGTGTACAAAAAAGGAGAGCAAAGGAAAAGGTGACAGAAAGATAGATAGAGAACGAGAAATACATAAGTGAAAGTAAGAGACAGGGAAATAGCGAGAACGCGCCCAGAGTGTGGGGGAGCAAGTTACTGTGTGTAGATATGCGTGAGAAAGAGAGGGTGAGCAAAAAGAAAAAGAAAAAAAGAGGGGAAGAAAGGGAGAGACACACAGAGAGCGGCAGAGAGAGGGAGAGATGGGGAGAGGCAGCGAGAAGAAAGAGAGAGAGGGGGAGAGGACGCGCGCGCGAGAGAGAGCGCGCGCACGAGAGAGAGAGAGAGCGAGACAGATCTAGAGAGGAGAATGACGTGGTGGTGGTAGACAGTGGGGAGGTGAGTGAAAGTAAGTGAAAGTAAAAGAAGAAGAGATGGGGTTACGCCAAGCGACGTTGGCATAATAATTGGAACTGTAAGTACCCAGAAAATGATAAACCCGTTATACGAAGAACGATCCGCTATTGTGTATTTCTTTTTACTGTCACTACATGAGCGAGGTGGAGTTCACAGGCAATTATAGATGGAGTGTTACATAGATACGCTTACTTGCGACTGGAGATCACGCACTGATAGATAGACAGCAACATCGTTCAAGATATGTGCTACGTGTATACGCGCAGCCATTCAAGTCAGTTTATTGCGCGTGAAATAGCGATATAGGTCAACACACGACGAGCGTTGAAAATTCGGCTACGACAAATACCGACAGCAATTGCGTGCGAACGCGCTCGGCATTATTTAGCACCTGAAAGCTATCGTCACAGTTTCATTCACTTCTGTCGAGCGTATATAGACGTGATATGAAACGCTACTATGACGATGCCGCAAGTCGAGTGAACAATCGGGCTTGAATTCGTCGAGTATTTGTTAACGTCGTTTTAGTTATATATATATATATATATATACGCATGATCAACAGTCTATGCACTAATAACTATCGTAGATCTGCAGTGAAAGGCGTCCAACCACATAACCCTGAGGTAATCCTCAGGTGTATTTATTGCATGCAATCTATATCGCTTGTTTGCTTAGTGGGTAATATCCGGCTCAGCTTTAGCGGCTACAATCTCGGCCACTCGACTGCTAACTAGATCTAACCACGAGTACCCTCCGTCGCTACTGCTTGGACGGGACGTTGAACATTTCACGTTTTTAAAGGATATTCCTCTTTTAGGAGTTAGCTCCGATCGGAATAAGAAAATATACGACATTTCCGACCGCGCCCACGTCACGCACTCGTAAATTTCTCGAGGTCTGCATTCTCTCTCTCTTTCTCTCTCTCTCTCGTCTGCGTTCGCGCCGCGAGGTTTGGCGTTCGCTTTAAACTCGGCCTGCAGGGAGCACGCGCCGCGATCGTGGCATCCTCGGAAGTCTGCGGGAGAGTGTATGCGGCAGCGGGTACGGTTTTGAGAAGTACTGCCGCCGGCACTGTTCAAGCACCACATGGATGAACGGGGAGCTCGCATGTATGTTCAGTTGTCCACGTCCATTGAAGTATAATTTCGACCTGATGCAAGGCTTGCTACGTGGGATTACTAACTTCCACCGAGAGAATGGTGCGGCGACAGGGTGTTACTGTAAATTCTAGTCGTGCACGCTGAGGGATAGATCGAGAGAGGGAGGAGAGTGAGACACTGAGGTGTAGACGCGACAGGAGAGAGAGGGATAGATCGCATCGACATAAGCTACGCTAGCTAACATATATATTTATAGGTAGATGAGTGATAGATAGATAGATAGATAGTGATGATTCGGATCAGATATAGTGATGATAGCATAGATAGTAGATAGATGTAGCTGAGATTGTAGATATAGATAGATAGAATAGATGATAGTGCTAGATAAGAATAAGTTAAAAGAATAAGAATAAGATAAAGATAGATAAGAAATAGATAAGAATAGATAGACGATAGATAGATAGACTAAGATAAGAATAGATTAGATAGATAGATAGATTAAATGATAGATAGATCAGATAGATAGTATAGATAGATATAGAATAGATAAGATTAGATAGATAGATAGCTAGAGAATAGATAGAGAGATAGAGCAGAGAAGAGAGAGACCGTGAGCGAGAGCGGAGAGAGAGACAAGAGACATGAGAGGAAGAGATGAGGGGGTGGGAGTGTAAGAGATCGAGAGGACAAAAAGATGAGAGTTAGAGAAGATTATTTCGCATGTTTTTGTATGTATACTGCAGTTTCGTATGTGCGGCACCATGCAGATCGTAGAGTGCGTGCGGCGATCGAATGAGTGAGTGACGTGAGTGAGTGAGTGAAGTGAGTGAGTAGTGAGTGAGTGAGTGAGTGAATGGAAGTGAGATGGACTGAGGGCTGAGCGAGAGAGTGTGGGAATAGATCGCGTACTCTATACGTGGCCAAACATAACCGCTATAGAAGTGAGTCAAAAGCAACTTGCGTGATATAAACGAGAACTGGGCAGAAAAGCAGGCAGACAATAAATACGCATCTCACATCTTTCTTGCTGTAACCTTGTCTTAGCGGTAAACCAATACTCAGGCTGTGCTGAAACGACGCTTGGTAGAAAGCCGTCGAGTTTCACAGGAATAAGGCTCTCGCGTGTCCCCGCAAACTGACTGGGACGTCTATAAATTAAGCGCAAATGTTTTTTTATGCCGCAGTTCCAACTAAAACCAGGTACCGAGAGCGCCGGTGTGCTCATAACGATAGAGCCGTAAAATTTATGCAAGCTGACGCTATTATAACTGTATTTCATCTGGCCGTCGAGATGAATATATGTGGCACATAATTTTTGGCGATTCCTACCTCTCTCTAGTGCGTACTGACGAACGCGCGGCGATAATAAATTGCGGTTTAGAACGATCGGCTACGGATACTCGCACTAGCGGCTCAGTGCATGTAGTACACATATTTTTACTGAGCTATGATAGTTTTAAGGTAGTTTCGTATGCACCATTTACTTCAGGCGTAAATATGAGGGTAGCGGTGACGAACTGCGCTGCAGTCAGCCACGCAGGACTAGGTGTAATGATACTGCCAGAGTTCCTTAGTTTTTCTTGATTTGCATTGGGATTGTGAAACGGATGCATGTAAATTGTAATTACAAATAATATGAGAATTTTCTCATACGTTCGATAATGAATATGACTCTTTGGTTTCATTAAGTGATGTAGTAAGTTTGTTCTATCTAAGTTACATTTATGTTAATCTAGCCAGCACAGTGCCAGATCTACGTAACAAACAAGTTATTGAGGAGACATGCACACGCTGGCTAAAATTGTATATAGGGAGACCATCCTGCTACAATGTTATATAGGGAGACATCCCTGCTACCAATTAGTTATAGGGAGACACCATCCCTGCTAAATTGTGCATATAGGGAGACATCCTGCTACAAATGTTATACCTCGGGAACATCCCTGCCTAACAAAGTTATAGGGACATCCTGCTAAAATGTCATATAGGAGACATCCTGCTACATGTTATATAGGGAGACACCTGCTTCAATGTTAAAATTAGGAAGTCTCCTGCTACAACGTTATATAAGGAGACAACCCTGTTACAATCGTTATATAGAAGAGACATCCTGCTACAATGTTATAATAGGAAGCATTCCTGCTACAACGTTTATATAGGGAGAACCCCTAGTTACAAATGTTATATAGAGAGATATCCCTACTACAATGTTATACATAGGGAGATATCCCTGCTACAATGTTATTTAGGGAGACATCCCTGCTACAGCGTATATGTATATGGGAGACTTCCCTGAAGCAAATCGTTGTTACAACGTTATAAATGGGCAGCCATGCTGCACCGCCGAGGCAAGTCGGTTACGCCATTACGTGGCCTCATATATTTTACGAGGCGCCGCTACGGGGCATGGCGGCCGCATGGTGTTACGGTGCCTGAATTACTGCTTATGCCAAGGTTTATCATAGGCGCGCCGCGTAAATAAATATATAAATATATAAATAAATAATACATATATACTTATATATATATACCGCAAGTTTCCCACCGATCGACTACTTGAATATATTATTAGTTCGTGCATGGATTCGTCACATACATCTAGCCATGCTCATCAGATCGAGTGAGAAGGAGAAAGAGACAGGGACAGAGAGAGCGTGGGAAAGAGAGCGAAAGGTAGAGAGTT